TAGATTAAGAAAGAGATATAAAAAAATAAAATTATAAGAAATCAGATTATCTTAAGAATTTTAGTTAATAAAATAATAAATTATATATAAATTAGCTTCTTATACTCCGCATAGAAAATAGATATCTATTATATAAAAAAAAGAAAAAATTATAAAAATAATAATAATAATATTAATAGCAGTAACAGCAGTAATAAAGACAGCAGTGATAGTAATAATAATAATAATAATAATAATAAAAAAATAGCTATAAGAGCAGACTGACTCAGCTTTATATTAATTATAAAATATGAAATAAATCTTTCTAAGAAATTACTTACCGCGGATATTTATAAAAAAAATTAAAAAAAATAAAGATTTAATAATAAAAATATTAATCTTTTTACAGAAGAAAAAAATAGCAGATATATAATATAAAAAATATTAAAATAATTAATTATAGTTTCTAGATTAAATTATATATTTTAAATTTATAAAATAATAAATATCTACAGACTAATATAAGATTATAAAATATTATATTTTATAATTTAATATAAATATCTTAGATCTATAAGAGTATAAACAGCTATAATAATATAAAATAATTATAAAAGTATAAAATAATTATAAGAATATAAAATAGCTATAAGAATATAAAATAGCTGCAAGAGTATAAAACAGCCGCAAGACTATAAAACAGCTATAAAAGTATAAATTATTTATAAGAGTATAAAACAGTCACAAAAATATAAATAATCACAAGAATTCTTTAAACAAGCACTTATTTATAATAATAATAATAATTAAAGAGAGAGATCACAGAGATTAAAAAGAGAGAAAAATTAAAGAATAAAAAAAAAAAAGAAAAAAAAAGAATTTTTAAAAAATATTCTTTTTTAAAACTTTAAGTTCTAAGTCTCAAGCTTTAATTTATTTTTAAATCAGAAATATTATACTATATTTATTACTTAATTATAATTATAAAAATCCTTATTATATTTATTATTTAATTATTATTACAGAGATCTGAAATATAATAAAAGATAATATATTTATAATTATATAAATAATTATCACAGCAGGCCTGTATAAAATAAATATTATAAAAAAAAAACTATCTTTTCTTTAATTAATTTTCTAATAAAAAAGATTTAAAACAGAGATTTTAATAATATCTAATTTTTTATAAATAATAATCTTAGAGACTAAGATTTTAAAAAAAAAATAATTATAAGAATAATAATTCTTATAATTCTTATAATATATTATATTATAAAAAATATTTATATTATAAAGACAGTCTCTTATAAAGTAATTATACTAGTATAATATATAATTTATAGAATTTTTATAAATATATTTATTTATAAAAAAAGCTAGATAGAAGATTAGTAATAATTTTTTAAATAATATAAATATTATCTAAACTTTATAATAGATATACTTTCTTTATACTATCTTAATATATATTCTTATACTAAGATTATATATTTAATTTCTCTTAATAGTTATATAATTAAAAAAAATAATTAAATCTTATAAAATCTATTAAAATAAAATTTAAAACTTTTTATATATAGCTTATATTACAGCAGTTCTAATCTGTAATAGAGATTATATCTTAAAAAAAGAATATATATTAAAGATTAGAAATTCTTATATATATAGCTTAATATTCTATATTTCTCTGTTCTATATAAAATATAGTAACTAGTTAACTATTGCTTAGTTAATTTATATTAATCTTTTGGCCTAGTAGAAAAGTATTATCATATGCTTATTATTTATTCTATAACAGGGAATACTTGATTTAGAAAGATAAGAATATAAGATTTTCAAGAAATTATAAATATTATAAAACAAAGATTTTTTTAAGCTTGATATTATTCTTTTTAATAAATATTTAATAGAGCTGTTAAAATATAATATTTATATTTTAACTTTTTTAAAAAAATAATATTATAGAGTATATTTCAGAGCTATCTAATTTAACTAATTAGTCTTATTAGACTAATATTTATTAAGTTATATATATATATAAATTGTCAGATTACTGATAGTCCTTCTCTAAATATCAGTTATTTCTTCTTGTATATAGAGGCGTGGTTCTCCAAGCATATAGACTCCACCCCTAACAAAAACTAGAGTGGCTTAACCTGACTGTTATACCTTAATCTTAACCTGGCCATAATCTGATAATCAGATTAAGATATAAAAAATTTTTAACTGTATAATTAAGATTAGATTAAGATATAACTATTATTATAATTATTTATATCTGCTGATTAGAAAAATCAGATATAATAGATAGATTAATAATTACAGATTAATTTATAATATATATATTCTTTTTATATAGATAATATATAAAATATAATATATATTTAATTATAGTATAGATATAATAATATTCTTTAAATATAGTTTACTACTTAATCTGTTTAATTAATTATTTTAAGAAATATACTATACTCTGAAAAAGATTTTTACAGAATCTAATATAAAAAAATAAAAAAAAATATAAAATATTTATTCTTTATACTATCCAGGATAGTAATTATAATAATATAAAAATTATAAAGACCGGGTCTCTATCTCTATCTAAGTATATATAATAGTCAGAGACTCAAATAAGACTAGTTCTCTTAATTCTGAAAAGATTTATCTTAAAAGAATAAATAAATACCTGCGATGATTCTTTACTCAGTATCTGACTAATTATTTACTTAGATATAACTAATAATAATTTCTTCTTATAATTCTTATAAAGATAATAGCTTATAGAACTAGTTCCTGAATTTTTAATTTCTAGATATTATAAGATATAAAAATATATAATATAATAAATATAAAAAATTCTATTAAAAAATAATATATCTTTCTGAAAGCTGTTCTATATTATTAATAATTTTTTTTAATTAAAATAAAATAATAATTTTTAAGTTTATATATAGTCTTTAAAAAAGATTATCTTTTATTACTAATTCTAAAAAATAGAGAGCTTTTTTTAAAAAACTAAATATAAGATAATCTTTTAATTCTTCGCAACGCGTATAATCTTAAGATTTAAAAAAGAAGAAAAGATCTGACTTAAGAAGCTTATCTTAATTTAAGTATTATTATAATTTATAAAGATCTAAAAAATAGAAAAAGAAGATTTAATAATATTTTCTAAAAATAAATCAGATAATTATAATTAACTTATAATTTTAAAACTATTTTATAAATAATAAATATAAAAAAATAAAAGCAGAAAACTCTATTTAATAAATATTAAATTAAAATAAAAGCTTAATATAATAATAAAACAAAATTTAGTCTCTGATTATAAATCTAATAATAGATTTAATAAATAGAAATTTATATTTAAAACTCAGAATTATAAAATAATTTCTTTTTTTAAATAAAGCTATTTAAGATATAATAGACTAAAATAAAAAGTAGATATTTATAAAAAAAATTTATAAAAAATTTTTATAAAATTTTCTATAAGAGCTGTAGTATTATAATACAGATTTAATATATTTTATTTAAATATTTTATTTATCTATTCTATCTATTTAATCTGTTTAATTTATTTAATCTATTTAATCTATTTAATTTACTTTATTTTAATAATTTAACTATTTATAATTTTCTTAACTGTCTATTTATTTTTAATTCTGTTAATAGCTCTTTAAGCTATATCTTATCTATAAATCTAAGAATAATCTAATCTAAAAAAAATAATAAAATAAAAATAGTATATTTATTCTTAATATTCTAATTAATAATTAATATATAATTTTTCTAATATTTTATAATATAATTAAAATATATAGCTAAAATAAAGTAATAATTATATATTTTTATATATATTTCTTGCTGTAAAAATAATAATTTTATAAAAAACTAAATTTTATTAATATAACTAAGATTTTCTTATTATTTCTAATAAATAATAATAAAAAAGATACTAATTTCTTTTTTAATTATATTTTTTTAATTTAAAAAGCTTCTTTTTATATACTTTTAGATAATAATAAAGATAGTTAGATTAATAACTATTTAATTTAAGTATATCTTAATTATACTAGAGCTTAAAAAAATATAGCAGATAGATCTTGGCGCTAAAAATAATTAAAATAATTAATTATCTAATTTTTAGCTATATCGCGGTTAGATATAAAAATTTTCTTAATCTAATTATAATCTGGCGATTAGATATAAAAATTCTAATTAACCTGACCTGATCTGGCTGTTAGCCACTCTAACAAAAACTTTAGAATTATAAATATAGCAGACGGAAATATTAGCTTTAAAAATAGAAATTATATAATATTAAACTATAAATAAGATAAAATATAGAACAGATAGTAAAAAAATAAGAAATTATATACTTTAATAGACAGACTATAAAATTAAATTATATATAGAGTTGTAAACAAAAATCATAATATAGCTTAAAATTTTAAAATAAAATTTAAAATAAAATTTAAAATTCAAATTAATATATACTAAAACTTAAAATAGAATAAGAGACTTAGAATAAATATACTAAAAAGCTTAAAAATAAAATAGATAGTTCACACAGGTCAGATAGAGCAGACAGAACAGGTGATTCAGGCAGATAGGCTGGCACTGTAACGATTATAGATAAACAATATTTATTAATTAATAATAATATTAAATAAGATTATTTCTGGACAAGAAATTGTTGGTAGTCTGATAATACTTAACTACACTAATTAGAAAATAAGAATATAGAAGATGTTAGAGTTATCCAGACTACTAATAATTACATATAATAATCACTAGCTCCAGCAAAACCAACCCTCCTCCTCACCGCCCCTGGCAGTAACTAGCCAGCGCAGCCAACACCTTGCTGTGTCAACATCTCAGTCAAAATCAACTGAGTAAAAAATATACTATCCTTCAGTTAAGTTCTGCATAAGTAGTAGGTACTTGAAGATTATAAGAAGTAAGCTCTTATCATTCAATTGAAACTGTCTATATATCACGCTGATTATCAGGTACCTATTCCATGCTTTGTTATGTATTTTGGTTGGCAGAAAGATAATGGCAAGCGGTCAGCAGGTAGGATTGTTTTGTAAATGCTGCATTCCTATTCTCTTCCAAAACTTGGGGGAACCATTGCCTAATTCAACACACCAACTATAACTATAGAGATAATCCCTTACTTTTCTCTAAAGAACCCTTGATTACCTCCTTATTTCATTGACTTTTGCTCCAGATTTCAAAACTTTATCTGACCGGTACCAGGTACAACAAATATAGGTTTCATCTACGGAGTACTACTACCTTTTTTTGCCAATCTAGTCGCCCTATTCTGAGATGTCCGGTGAGGTTATTCGCCAGTTGCAGCATGGCAGTCAGCATTCCTTTTTTATGAAACAAGCACTATTGATGGTGGCTATAACTTCCCGAATCAAACCGCACACAAATACTCATGTCTTCTTTAGGGGGAAAAAGCTCTTGCCACCGGGGAAACCCCAGTGGGATGTATTCTGGTCTATAATAATACAGTTGTTGGATATGGAATGAATGATACCAACAGATCAATGAATGTACGTAACTCAGAATATACCATTGTCTGGAATCTACCAAAAGATGTGATTTCAAGAGCTTTTTTATTATCTATTCCCAACACTAGTGATGCTCCTACTCTACAATGATATGTGAATTCTGAAAACTTAACATAATTCTCAGGGCACAAGACACGCGGAGTTTATTGCTATTGAGGAAATGCTTCAGAATTATCCTAGGTCGGCACTTCGTAAAACAGACCTTTATGTCACTGTTGAACCTTGTGTTATGTGTGCCTCTGCTTTAAGGCAGTATCAGATACAGACAGTATATTATGGATGTGGAAATGATAGGTTTGGTGGTACCGGCAGCATCCTATCGCTCCATTCTGAGTATGTTATTCTGAATGAAAAGTCATCTCTAACGCTAACTTGGATTAGCTCCTCGATAGATCCACCATACCCTGTACATGGTGGATTATTCCATAAAGAGGCCATAATGCTACTTCGTCGTTTCTATATACAGGAGAATGAGAAGGGTAAGAAATGCACTTTACATATAGAGTTTCCTTGCTCATTTTTTTGTAGCACCCAAGCCTCGTCCCAAAAAGCATCGCGAACTAAAAACAAACTTTGACAATTCCCACTCACCTATACTGTACGTTAAATAGGGAAAAGTTAGGTACTGATGATTACTCATCCCATATCAGAAAGGGATCATCTGGTTACACTTGATACTGTCCAAGACGAGACAGGGAGGGGGGATAAAACCATACAGAAACCTAAGGATGATACATGAATTCCATGTTGCCTTAGAACATGGATATACAAGATTTTGCAACAACCTATCAAATATTAACTGGTCAACTCTTTTCACCTCTCCATGCCAGTAAAGACTTCGAGAATCTGGACCTATTTCAACCGTTCGGCTTCAAGTTCGCGCTCAGCTTGCTGATAATATTTAGCCGTATCGACTCCATGCTTGTAAAATAATCAGTGCTTTACTAACAAAGGCAACCGTATGCCAATAAGAAAAATCATATTTGCTCTTGATAATACTTACCTGGTCGTGGTTCACAATATTAAACCATGGGATAACATGGATGAATAGCTCCGAATAACGAGAGTTCCGGGCAGCAACACCTTGCAAGTATGGGGAGAGCCTGGATGTACCATATAAAGGTTCTCCTGCTTTGACTTTGTCAACCATTTCCCTCATGTCCATATCAACTTCTCTGGAATTTTCGGTGAATCCATAGAAACGGCCTATGCAGGGGTGTTAGCAACCAGGGGACCAGATATGATCAGAGCTGAACAACAGCACTTACTGCAAGATCTCTGATAAAACACATGCAGACCCCCAATAAGACCAATTGCTGTAGCTAGTCGCATTACAGGAGCAAACCCTCCCCTGCCAACATGGGACGGGCTCACTCTCTCCATGGCCCAGAATGCAAGAGGAGAGACGGCTGCCATTCCCCCACCTACTGCATAGTCAGAAGGTCGCGCGTACCCAAAAACTCGTTTCAAATGTCTGGCAAGAGGTGAGTGGTCACGCAATAGAATTAATTGAAGTTGGTCCATACGGGTCAGAGTCGATCAGCTACAAGTTATAATTAGCCCAACAGTCATGGCGCGATTGAACGTGAAAAGGGCATTAGTCATACCGGATAATCGGTATTAGCCCGCTTTGGGGGGACAAGTATTCCTTCATGGTCAGTCGCCATAATGACGGGGCTGGTTGTAAAAGTGAGGGTAGATAATTGGGCTTTCTGGATTGGGTTCGAAGGTGAGGGAGTTGTGCCAAGCATTATGCTTTTCCAGTTCAAGATTAGTGGAAGGTTTAATTACTCAGCTGCATACATTAACTAATCAGTTAAACAACTGACATGCTGCATACTTTATGAATTATGTCTTGTTCTAAATATCTCAGTAGGTATATTATATATTCATGTAAAGCGCAGTGCGCCTCTAGATATCTGTATGATATTATAGAATCAAAAGCCTTAACAAGTTAACAAATGTTGCACTGTGTAAATTTATATAACAGCGTGTGAAAGGTACTCCCTAAGATACCTACGAGGTACGGAGTAGGTAGTAAGGTACCTTAGGTATAATCTGTGTTAATATTCCGTACGGAGTAGAACATAGAAAGAGGCGGTCAAGACAAGGGCCAATCAGGTACTCAAAATATATCCGTTACCTATAACCAAGTACTTTGTACACACTACTCTGTACTAGTAGTACCAACCATATTATATACCACTGTACCTATTATATTATTAATCTCATTACAGCGTTGATACGAAGTAAGGAGTAGACCCAGGGTTAATGAAAAACGCGCGCTACGCGTCAGCTATGCGCTCTGTGTCTTGCGGCAGCACTATCGTGTGCAATGTACTGACCTTGTTAGACTTGTATTCATAAGGCGTTGATTCTGCATGTTTTCTACGATCGTACGCATGGTGATTCTGAAAAATGGAGAATAATAACATAAGCCAAACAAATCCTCCACCGGATCCTGACGATATACTCTTTGATTATGATGCTGGATTAGACAGATCATTACGAGAATCAACAGTGGATTGGAAAAAGTCGGAAGTGTCTTCAACACCGATCTTGGGAGTAGATGAAAAAGTCAAAATTACCAGGCGTCGATATACTGTCAAACTGGATGAGAGTCGGTAAGTATGACCGCTCTATCTGCATTTCAGATCTCAACTGACTGTTCTCCAGGTTATTATCACACTCCGGAATACCAAAACTACGCCTTACAGCGAAGCATAAACTGGGGCTCAAGGGTAAAGGGCATGAGGTCAGCTACAATCACAACAACAAAAAACCATGTTGCTGCTAATCTTTCCTACAGTTTTCCGATGCTGCCCGGTTATTAAATTTCTACCAATTATGGCTGGATGATTTGTTCCCTCGGGCCAAGTTTGCCGATGGCTTGGCTATCATTGAAAAACTCGGTCATTCCAAACACTTTCAGACAATGCGAAGAGAATGGATAGAAGAAGAGAAGCCTCGGCGACCCACCGGCGAGTCTGAAGACACGCTGAAGATGAGGCTTTCGAGCCAATGCGCCTTTGGGGGTGTCGGAATTCCTAATGAGCATTATAACAATATAGATACAGTGCTATTCCAAGGAGATAACACGATGCAGCCGCCTTTAGGGAGTGATCCCGGACAGTCGCGTTCGTTTACGAAAGAGGGCGTCTCGATTGAAAACTTGTCTTTTACAAATGAGCCCCCTATCCAACCACAAATGATTCACGAAAGCATTCCCAATGATGATGACGACGAGCTGGATGCCCTCCTGAAAGAGCATGAGGGTGGTAGTGATATGTCAGCAAGACCAAGCTTAAAGAACAGTGTCAATGGGTAGGTATATGGGTGATCTAGAGAAATGTGAAAATTGTGAACATTCTGAACAATAGACTTGCCATACGTCTCAGAAAGACATGACCCTTACATTGGCCTCCCGCAACTGATATTAATCGGGAACCGAAGATTATCTATTGTATTTTATGCCGGGGTGGCTAATCAGATTACAATGACTGGACTTTTTGTCCACGCACTCGGGTATATGGTGTTGAAATCAAATTACAAATACATAAAATGGTTGCAACAGCACCGACATACTAATTACAGATACTCCCATGACACCAAGTTACGCCAGTATTCCATGCGAATCTGTCATAACTCATAGTGCTGCAGCCTCGGTGAACACAGAGAATAGACCACCAGCGCCTGCCCAGTTTATTCTTTTCCCTCTAACAGCAGTATTTTCGATGACAGTGGCAACCTCAATGTCTTCCTGGGTGCCTTGGCCCGTTTGATAAGTTGCAGAGAAACCCCATGACCAAGGGCGACCGTAATTATCGATGGCAATAGAGTGGTCAGAGCCAGCCGCAACAACATTGGCTTTGATTCCTGGGAGAGGGCTCGGTTCTATTAAAATGCGAGGGCGCCCACGTTCGTCCTTTATTATCGCCTCTTCAGGCATCGCGTCAATTTTTAGACCTGTCTGGTAGCCATCCAGCCGGCCCCAAACAAAACAGTCGCCGCCATTGGTAACAGCAAGTGAATGATGGGCACCGCCACAGAGTTGTGTGATGTTCTTCCCCGACAATGAATCTACAACTGTGGGGTGCACTATAGCAGCTTCATCGTCGCCGGCACCGGTTCTAATCCCTGTTTCGCCGAAGCTGTTTAGGCCCCACGCGTATACTTTTCCGGACTGGTGGACAGCGAAAGAATGGAATGCACCACATCCAATATGCATGATATTTTTGGGAAGGCCGAATTCGCGCGGCTGAAGGCCGTTTAGTCTATTTCGCTCAATGATGCGACGACCTAATTGATTTTGTTGGCCCGAGCCCCACGAAAAGACGGCGCCCTTATCGTTCAATGCCAGGACATGGTTATCACCGCACGTCAGGTGCTTAATCTTTCTCAAGGAAGGTATCAGTTTAGGTGTAAGCTGGACTTTTTGCTTGGCATCAAACCCCAGAATACCATCATTGCTCTAGCTCGGTTTTGTTAGTTTGAAGGAGCCATACAAGAACGTTCAAGAGTTGACTAACTCTAAATGTTCCCCACCCATAGACTTGGCCGTCATCTGTGAGAGCAAAGCTCGAGCTGTCGCTGGCGGCGACCTCAACAAAAACAGTGCCGTGTGTAAAAGTTTCACACGGAATAGCAGTCGGCGTTGATTCATATGGATTGAGGGTAAGGTCATCATCGGACTCTGAGGCCGTCTCCTTGAGGTTGTCATTGATCTCTTTGTACCCCCCATCCCAACCAGTGTCTCTACCAAGCGCCCCTTGGTCATTGACACCCCACGTAAGGATCTTGTTGTCATATGTGAGCGCAACGCAGTGCATGCCGCCAACAGCAATCTGCACAACACCGACGATGTCCGCTGGCAAGTACGGGTTCAAGCGCGGCCGCTTCACATCGACTGCGTTCTTAGCAGGTCCAAGGCCCAGTTCACCTGAATTACCTTCGCCGCAAACGTAGACATTTAGTCGAGTCGTTGGTGCATGGTTGATTATCGCCTTAGGCTTCAGCTTTGTGACCGAGGGTTTGGCAGGACGAGCTTTCTTATTAGGCAGTTCACCAACAGTTTCCGCCTTCCGCTTCCTTGGAGCTTCCTCTGGCCCGGCTCTGGTCATACTTCTTGCGCTGGTGTTGCTTGATATTCCTTTCTTGGGATTTGTATCTGATGTCATTACCTTTTGCTTCTTGTGGGTCGTATGGTATCTCTCATGGCTCATTGAATTCGGGGTGGTGGTTTTGATAGCGATCTTTATTGCTTTCGCTGCCATAAGAGCTTCAGTCTTTTTACTACCTTTGACTGTAGCGACGGCTGATCCCATGATTGTCTTTGTCATACCTTTGTTCGGGGGCATCTTCGCCGTCTGGAGGACTGTAGACTTTATATTGTATCAAGTACGTTGCCGTGCGTCTGACAATATATTTTTCAGCTGGAAAAAGGCGGGATGGAAGTGAGAGGTAGAAGGTAATTAATTGATGATAATGTGGTGATAGTGAGGTGCGAGGACGGAAATAAGGAAAAGTTAGGGAGAGGGGGGGAAGGGTAGTACCAGAAATGAAAGACTGATTGTTAGGACTTTCATACTAAGATGCCTAATTTCAGCATGATTGGGGGTAGCCTCCTATTACCCATGGTTCATCCGTGAAAATCATTTCAAACCTACTACTACACCGTATAACATTTATGTATGTACTTAAAGTATGCAGGCACTATACCTACTAGCTACCTAGGGGAGGCAGGCAGGTACTACTGGATACTACTACTTAGTACTACGGTAGTACTACCTACCGTATGTAGTAATTACAGAGTACCTAGGTAGCTAAAATATACCTAAGCATGTACTAATACTATGTAGTTAAGCAAGATACGTAGGTACCATAGACAGTCAGTAAAAGTAGTAGTACTGGTGGCTGCGGGGCTGCGGGGCTCCGTATCAGGGACTCGTATATGGTAGAGTACTAAGATAGGGCCCAGCTTATATCTACTCGTCGCCTGCGGTGCTTCGCCAACCATCAGGGTGTGGGTCAGCAGTACATGCAGGCGAAAAGTAGTGGTTACAGTTTAGCAAAGAAGAAATGCTATCTAATTAATGAACTATGTGTGGGATTAGGGAGGACTCCCTCCATGCCACTGTTGAGTGGATGTTGCAACTGGCAATTTTATTTACTATCAACTTGGTCCCAAAAGCCACCTCCATCGGGAAATGGCTTTCAGTGGCAGCATATATTACGGCTCGATATTAGCAGTGGGAGATTCATCCGCAAACGTGGTCCTGATTTTCCCGCACATTATAACATTCTGTCCCAGTGGCATCCATTTCACTTCCTTAGGGTTCAGGGCAGCGTTCGGCTTGCCTTCCCGATCACGCTTCGATTCTGGGCTCACACTCACACCACCAGAGCCGAGATATGTCGGAGCGATAGTCACGATGATCGAATCAATGAACTCAGTGTATTCGGGGTTCAACAGCTCACTCAAAACGGTTCCCCCGCCTTCTATCATGACACTCTTGATCCCTTCAGATGCCAGCGCACGTAGAATAGCCTCCCAGCGTAACCGCCAGTTCTGATTATACTCCATAATACGGAGAAAATCACCACCGTAGCCTTTGAGCATCATCAACTTCTGGGGGTGGATTCTAGCTCCCGGCGATACCACAACCCATGGCGCTTTGCCTTTCCCTTCCACCGTGGTTCGCAGCATTCGACAGTCGGGGTGAACTGGCCATCGCCCTGTAGGATCGACTACCACAGGTCTCGGTTGCCACATTCTTCCCAGGCCACCGAATCCACCTGCACCTTCCAATCTACAATTCAGTCCGGGATTATCAGCGAGAACCGTCCCGACTCCGATCATTATCGCATCATGACGTGACCTGAGGTAATGTGTCATCAATTTGGCCTCTGGACCCGATAACACGGTCTGCATGCCTGGGAGCAGCGATATCTTGGAATCCATGGAAGACGCGTATGATAATGTGACATGAGGTAGTTGGCGCCGGACACTATGCTTTGGTAGGTAAGGCTCAAGGAAGCCCAGGTGAAACTGGGGGAACGTGAGCGTATCAGGGGGCAACGGTGATGGTATGTTAGTTTCTTTTAATGGAGACGTGTCGGTCGGGATAATACTGGCACCGTCAGCTGCTCGCATTCGTAGAATCCCGTGGCCCTTTTGATATTCATAGCCCTCGTGCGGCACAAGCTTAACCTCCGGGTTCTGTATCCTCCACTTCGCCGAGACATTGCGCACGTCTGTCACCGTACAAAATCTCCCTCCAGCTTCGACAAGTTTACTCGGCTCCTCTTGAAATTTTGTGTATATGGAAGAAGGCAAGTAACCCTTTATTGCCTCTCGCCGAGCAAACTCCATAAGACCCGAGTTTCGTTTCACTTTGTCGATGAAGTCGAGGTCATGCGAATGTACACGACTACTGCCCGGGGTTCTTGCGATGGTGACAGTCGAATACGCCCCTTCAAACTTGACGACTTTGATCTGAAAGTTGCAAATCCCACCCTCCCGTACTCTTTTCTTTCGAGGGCGTTTGCCTTCCGGGAGAGGCCGCGTTTCTGATGTACGGTGGGTAGGGCGTCGTAGGCGACACATGTAGTAATCAGTCGTGCAATGGCCTTCCTTGCTAGAATTTGACCTCTGTTTCACCCAGACGTTATCGATAAATGGCCAGTATGTCTCAAATTCCCCAAGATTGATCTCGATTGGATCACTGCACTCAAACATTACTTGACGTATCCTTGCAAGGTTCGGGGGGTTATTAATGAGGCTATGCTTCGTGGATAAGCTTGTGCTTCTCGGACAAAATAGATCGGCGTGGCCAGTATCAGATTCCGTAGAGATGTCGCTCCGTAAACATTGGACGTTGTCTGTCCCAAGAGAAGCTTGAGCATCCGATTCCTCTAGTGGCATGCAGCGCCTAGATTGCCCAGATGCTTTCTGGATTTCTGCTACCGCATCGTGCGGTATAGTGTGGTTGATGTTGGTGGTAGTAATGATGTTGCAGTAGTCACTGTCATTATCGCAAGATGTCACCATGTCTCTGTGTCCATCCAATATAGTCTCCAACCCGTCCTTTCCAAGAACCGAAGGGGCGTTCTGCAAAAACCCTGCGCCAGAATCGGGAGATGCAGGTGGATTGCTTGTCTCAAACTTATCGGGATGGTCATGTTCCATGTCGGAAGACTGCAGTCTCAGAAGCACATGTACTTGTAGTGCAGTGCGGCTTAGGTTCGGGTTGGAAAGGCCCCAACACAACCAGCCTATTCAATTCATAGTTAGAGGTTTGACTGTATTGGCCAGAAGGATTATTGATGTAGCACCAGCTATATCCTGTTTCCTGGCTGGATCAAACGTGTTAACCTATACACTTATGATCGGAGATGCAAATGTCAGACCTGAAAAGGTATCTAGGTTGCCGGTCTTGGCGTGTAGTAGGTACAGCATCCTAAAATTATAACTAGTTAATTAATTGTCATTGCTTATATAAGCAGGATTTAGCACATGGTCTCTGATATGATACAACTAGGTTTACAGATAGAATATAGTTGTTTTATCTCTGCTTTATTAAAAATAGAATATAATTATTCTATCTTTAGCTAAGTAAATATATATTTTAATAAATTCTTAAAACGATTTATCAGTAACTATAAGCTAAAAACTTTTGAGTATTTATATTATTTATATTATTTATTTATTAATAAGATACTTTTTATTTTTTATTAATATTCTGTTTTTATATCTTAGATTATATATAAATAAAATATATAAAAATTTTTATATTTCTAAGAATTTATTTTATTAATGAAAAGTCTGAGTTTGCTGATTTATTAAATTATTTTAAAATTTATATTTTATAAGATTTATATTAATTTAATATCTTATATAAATTATTTATACTTTTTTATATATATATCTAATCTTAAAATTGATTTTGCAAATATTATTAATTAATATATTTTTAATATATAATTTTAAGTTATTAATTTATCTTCAAGATAGATTTAAAACTAGTAATAAAAAATTATTCCTAAATTTTAGTATTAAAATAAAATTTTTTAAAATTAATAGATTAATTAACAGAATACTTATTAATAATTTTATTTAATATTATTATAATTAAAGATATAAAATATGTAATAACTTATTGAAAAATATAATTAAAATTTAATAGTGATTTCAGTAAAATTTATTAAATCTAATTTTAATTAATAAAAGATTAAAATAAAAGTAATTATAATTATACAAATAAATCTAAATAAAAATATAATCTTATTAATTAAAATTTTTAAATATGTAAAAAAAACTTGGAAACATTTATAAAACAAATTATAAAAAAATTATGTAAGATTATTTGAATTTTTAAAATTAAAATAATTAATAGAATTAATTAATTAAAGACAAAATCTTAATTATATTAAAAAAAATCTTTTCTAAAATTAATAATCTTCTTCAGCAGCTAGTAAATATATATATAAAAATATTATAAATATTAAATATCTAATAATTATATAATATCTAAATATTCTAATAGAAAAATTTATAAGTTTTACAAATATATTAAAAAGTTTAAATATATTCTTAACTTAGATTTTTATATATTAAATAACTGCTAGTAGCTTCTTATTATGAATCTTATGATTATTTTTAGCTAAAGAGAGTTATTTAAAAATACATATATATAAATATAGATTTTCATTTTTATTATATGAAAAAAGATATTCTTCTAAATTATAACTAAATAAATCTATCTCTAATATTATTTATTAATTAAAATGAAAACAAAATAAGTATTAGTTTAGTACATAAGAGTATTTTTAAAATAAATAAAATTATTTTAATAGTTCTGAGTTCATTAGAACTAAATATTATTTTTAAAAAATTAATAAAAAGACTTAAATAGGACTGAGAAGTTTAATATAAACTAATAATAAAAATTAATAATTTAATAAATTTATATATTGTTTTAATTGTAATAAAAGTTAATAAATTTAATAAATTTATATATTTTTTTAATTATAATAAACATTTTTTATTCTTATATAATATAAAGTTTTTTAATTTTTATATTTATTTCTTATTTAGTCTTAATAATAAATTATAAGGGGTTGGCTTTATAAGATAGTATAAAGAAGATATATCTATTACAAATTCAAGATAGATATTATATTATTTAAAGTATTATTACTAGTAAAATGGTTAACAGTCAGGGTAGGATAGATTAATAAAAGATTTTATATCTGCTATCAGATTAATAGTTAGATATAAGATTCTGATTATCTTATATCTAATTATAGAATAATTAAAAATAAAATAATTAATTATCTTAATTATTTTTAATATTAAGATCTCCTTACTATATCTCTTTAGATCTTAATTTAGATAAAATATACTCAGATTAATCTTTATTTATTTTAATTATTTTTATCTTTATTAATAATATATATAAAATAAATATTCTTAATTTTAAAAATAATTAGAAAATAAAAAACAGTATATTTTATTTTATATTATTTTAATTAATTTAAGATTATATTAATAATAATAAAAATTAAGTATTTAATAAAAAGCTTTTTTTATAATATAAAATAATAATAAATATATATATTTATAGCTTTTTTTTAGCTATATATTATATATAAATTATTAATATTTTTTAAATAGTTTTCTAAGACTAATAAACTTTGTTAATAATTTTTTTATATAATAATATCTAGACTTATTATTTATTTTATCAGCTTAAAAATCTTTTAAATATCTATTATAAATCTAGATATTATAAATTATTTTTTATATTATTTAATTATAATATTCTATAGTACTTTATTTATTTAATTTATCTAGAAACTTATATTTTCTGGAAATTATAATAAAAAGACTTAAACAGTCTTTTTCTAAAATTTATAAAAGACTTTTATAAATATTATTATTAAAAAAATACAATAAAAGTTATCTATAAAAGACTTTTACAGAATTCTCTAAAAGCTATTTATAAAATTATTTTATAAATAATTCTAAATTTATAGATAGCTTTTATAAATCTGTTTTATATAATAATTATTATATACTGCAAAATCTTATTTATAAATAGGATTAGAAAATATCTTTAATAAAAACTTATTATTATTATATAATTCTAATATATATAAATATAATAGATTATATTTTTATTAATATATATTTAAAAGTAAAATAGTATTATATTAATAAAAGTTTTCTACTTTTTATATTTTTTATTACTTATACAGATAAATAGACTATTACAAGTTAATTATAATTACAAAATCTATTCTTAAAGAAGACTATTAAATTCTTTTTTTCTTTATCTTATAAATCTTTATAAATTATAATAATATCTGAATAAAGAGTAGCTTTTTAGTCTATACTATCTTTTCTTTTTTAAATCTTAATATTAATTATATTATAAAACATCTGAAAATCATCTTTACAAGAACTATAAGAAATAGAAATCTTAATATATCTCTAAATAAATTGTTAAATAGATACTAAATAAAGACTTATTATAGATATATAATTATTAGTAGTATTTTTATAAGTACTAATCTTAAAATCCTATTTTTATATAAGATTTCTGAGCTCTTTAGCAGATTATTATTATTTATAATTATTATAATATCTCTAGATCTTTATTATTTATAATAAAAGGAATATTTTTAATTAAATATTATATTTTCTTATTATCTGCCGCCTGCTGTTCTAAACTATTAAATATATCTAATTTAAATAAATAATTAGTTTTATTACTTTAGTATTCTTCTGAATATTTATTTCTTTTATTAAATATAAATTAAAGAATATTTCTTAAAATTATTAAAGCAAATATATATCTAATTATTACTAAACTTTCTAGATAATAAATATATATTAATCTTAATTAACTATTAGATTAGTTCAGATCAGAAAGTATTTCTAGCTTTAATTAAATATTTTCTAATAAAGAATATAAACTATTATAAGAGTCTATTAAACTTTTGATTAGTATTTAGATTTTTTATTAATAAAAGTCTGACTATTTCTGCAGAATTCTCTAGAAGCTGTTTATAAAAATCTTTTCTAAATAATTCTAGACTTATAGATAATTTTTATAAATCTATCTAATATTTTTTATTTATTATTCTGATCTTTAATAATAAATTTATAAATTATCAGATTATATAATTTTTAAACTTAAGTCTCTAATATTAGAAAAGGTTTCAGTTTATTTAATAACTAGAATCTGTCTTAGTATACTATCTTCTTTTTAATTTTAAAATCTAATAAAACTTAATCTATCTTATAATCTATTATATAATTAAATTATAATCAGCTGTCAAGAGCTTTATTTAGTAAATTAGTACTAGAATTATAATTATATTAATTATATTTATGTCATTTTAATAAAATAAAAGCAGTTAGAATATCTGCTTGAGCTTAAAGAATAATTTAAATAATAATCTATATATTTCTCTTTAGTAGTCTAATCTTATTAGATTCAGATTTCTAATATCATTTATATAAGCTTAATATAAAATCTACTAGACTGCTGACTGCTAGTTAAAAAATAAAAAAATATTAATTATTAATTAATCTAATTAATATCTTATCTTAATAATATAATAATTAAAAATATATTATAATTAATATATTATTTCTATAAAAGATTTATATAAATTATTAATTAATCTGTAATTATTAATTTTTTAATTATATCTAATTTTTTTAATCTATAATTAAGATTACTTAAAATAATCTCTTAACTATAAGTATAATCTATTCTTAATTATATAATTAAAAGAACTCTTATATCTTAATCTAATTGGCACATTATAGTTAAGATTAGGTTAAGATATAATAATTAGATATAATCACTCTAACTACTAGCCTACTAGCTAGATTTATTTTTATAAAAAGATATAAGTAGAAAAAGAGATTTAGCTAAATTTAATAAAAATTTAGATTATTTGAAAATAAAAATCTATAATAATTATAAAAAATATATAAGAATTTTTAGATTTTATTAATTTTTATAAATAGTTTATTAGAAATTTCTTAGAGATAATATAGTTTCTAAATTAATTAATATAAAAAAATATTATGTTTCAGAGTAATATTATACTATAAAATAGTTTTTAATAAGTTAAAATATATGTATTTTTTTTAATTTAATTCTAATTCTATTTAATCTTAAGTATATAATAATTATAAAAATAGACTTATCTGATTATAATACAAAACAAGTCTTTTTATAATATAATAATAATAATATAATATAATTCTATATATACTTCTTAAAATAAAATATATTAATAAAATATAATTATATAAGCTGTAATAAGAAACTTCTTATTATTATATAAAGACTTAAATAATAAAATACTAAGTTATAATTTATATAAAACTTTCAGA